CCTTGGTGTCCTTTTGGAATTCTCTAGTGGGATTAATGGAATTAAGTGTTCCCACCTTCTCACCTCTGCAGTTCCCAAACTCTTTATATTAAATATTTTACTTTCTATCACTATAGGAAAACATAATGAACACCAAGTTACAAAGCGTATATATTGCTTCCTGTAGTAGTCCCTATAACACAGGGGTCCCCAAACTTGGGGCCATGGACTGGTACCAATTTGTGACCTGTTAGGAACTGGGCCACACAGCAGGAGGTAAGAGGTGGGCTTCATCTGTATTTACAATCGCTCCCCATTGCTCACATTACCACCTGAGCTCCTTCTTCTGTCAGATCAGCAGTGGCATTAGATTCCCATAGGAGTGGGAACCCAGTTGTGAACTGTGCCTGCAAGGGATCTAGATTGCATGCTCCTTGTAATAGTCTTATGCCTGCTGATCTGAGGTCAAGCGGAGGCAGTGATGCTAGTGCTATCTCTTATCACCCCCAGATGGTACCATCTAGTTGCAGGAGAACAAGCTCGGGACTCCCAGTGATTCTGCATTATGGCAAGTTGTATAATCATTTCATTATACATTACAATATAATAATAATAGAAATATAGTGCATAATAAATGTGATGCACACTTGAATCATCCTGAAACCATCTCTTCCCCTCCCCTCGACTTCCATGGAAAAAATTATCTTCTGTGAAACCAGTCCCTGGTGCCAAAAATGTTGGAAACCACTGCTGAAACATTTCTTGACTTCCCACTAAGATGGGCATTTGCACTTGCTGTTATGTTGTTGAGAGTGGTGCTGAGCAGACACAGTTCACACAGAGTCAGGGCTGTGAAGACCTTTCCTTTACGAAGGCCTTGTTTCAGAATCCGAAGATATAGTCAGGCTATAATATTCAGTGAATATAGAGCAGTTGGAGGCTCTTTATGTGAAATTTACAACTTGGATCTTAGGGCCCCTCATCTGAAACACTAGGTTTAAACCAGGCCTCCTTGTTCCCTGGGATTTAGTACTTTGCGGGCATATCTTCAGCAGTTGTGCCTCTGCTTTGCCATTACCAGTGTGTTTGTTCTTCATATCTGGTGTTGGTACCACCCCTTACCCTTTAAGCAGAGAGGACATGATGGTGAGCAGCTGTTGTTCTTAGGCTTGTGTCTGCTTGGAAGGATCTGCCTATTATGGATGAGGCTCTCATAATGGGATAGTGTTTGACTATCCCATTCCCCAACCTACCCTCACACCCCAGTGAATCTCGGGTTCTCTGCCTAATGCCTTTACAGTCTTGGGATTTGGCACTTTTGTGACGTTTTGTAACATCTATGAGTTCTAATAGGCTGGGTTTATGGAACTTTTCTAAAGGTAAGGACAGACTCTGAAGAGAAATATGGTATAGATTCCGAACTTTTGAACTTTTAGCCTTGCCAGAGTTTAGGCAACTGAAGTCAGTTGGCCTGGGTAAAAATCTTAGGCAGGTTATGTCTCTAATTTGATCATCTTTAAAGTGACAATAATAGTAATGTTTTCTTTGTGGGCTTATTACACATATTAAATGAAATAACCTTTGTGAAGTGTTCACCTCAGAGTTAGGCATAGAATCCTATCTCTACTACTATTCAATTGTATGATGTTGAGCAAGTTACTTAATTTATCTTTGCCTCAGTTTTCTTACCTGTTAAGTGAGAATGTTATTATGTGGGATGTTGTGGGGATAAGATGAATTAATTCATATATGGTGCTTAGAGCAGTGTCTGGTATGTAGTAAATGATTATAGTAATGGTTATTGCTGTTGTCTAACTGAAATACCCTCTTTGCCTCTGGTTTTGAATCTCTTCCTTTTGGCCTTGGAGATAGATAGATAGATATATTTTTGAGTTGGAGTCTCACTCGGTCGCCCAGACTGGAGTGCAATGGCCGCTCCCGGCTACCGCAGTCTCGACCTGCTGGGCTCCGGCGATCCTTCCGCCTCAGCCTTCCAAGTAGCCGGAACTACAGGCGCACGCTACCACGCCCGGCTGATTTTTTGATTTATTGTCGAGGTGAGGTCTCGCTGCCCAGGCGGGTCTCGAACCGCGGGCTCAGGCAATCCACTCACCTCAGCCTCCCAAGGCGCGGGAGTACAAGCTGAGCCACCGAGCCCGGCTGAGATAGATATATTTAACCATCTGCCACAATACCTATGTATTGTCTATGTCCTCAATTCTCCAGTGATGTTACTTTTCTGGTTTTGTTGTTATGCCAACCTTAGAACCAACCCTGTTGTGACTGCTACAGGACAGAATCCCAGTTGATCTGCTGGGTGCTAGGATAATGTAACACACAGGTCCTGTTTGAGGAGACAGAGGAGCCAGTAAAGATTTATGAATGAAGAATAAATTTAATGTAAATATGTTAAAAAAAACTTTAAAATTTTACTTAGAAATCTAGAATTTCCATTTTCTGAACTTATGTGTAAATCGAATGTAAAATCTTTATAGAGAAAATGTTACTTTGTGTTTATTTGCTTTTGCTAATAAAGCAAAGTTTAATAACCTAGTATTGATATTAATAGTGTTGTTTGAAAAGATCTAAAGGGATTTATTTTTTATGTAATAACTAAAGAAATAAGCAAAGTAGAAGAAAATTTGAAAAGGAGTTAATTCCTAATTTATAATGCAATTATTATTTTAAACCGTTAATTTATTTTTATTTATTTATTTATTTATTTTGAGTTGGAGTCTCACTCTGTCGCCCAGACTAAAGTGCAGTGGCCGCTCTCGGTCACTGCAGCCCAACCCACTGGGCTCCAGCGATCCTTCCACCTCAGCCTTCCAAGTAGCCGGAATTACAGGCACGCGCTACCATGCTTGGCTGATTTTTAAAAAAATTTATTGTAGAGATGAGGTCTTGCCAAGTTGCCCAGGCAGGTCTCGAACCCGCGGGCTCAGGCAATCACTCACCTCAGCCTCCCAAAGCACGGGATTACAGGCTGAGCCACCGAGCCCGGCTGAAGCCGTTAATTTATATACCCAGTAAGTGGTGTAGTCATGCTTATAGTGAGGTCTGGAAACATTGGTACGCTTCAGTAAGAGGAGATGTGTTGTTCAAACCTTGGGGCCCCAGAATTTATTAGAGGTGCATCAGGGACGGAGGTGGCATGGTGGCAGGGTGTGGGAAAGAAGAGTGGGAGTTTTCTGAACAGGACAGGTGAATTGGCAGGGCAGAATATCCCCCCTCTTTTACATACCTCAACACACATATATCTAGTTGAAAAGCTTTGATAGCATGTGTTTTACTTTTTATTTTTTGCATAAGATTAAAAAAAATTTATAAACAGGTTTGAGAGGATCTGTGCTAGAAAGCACATTTCTAGGGTAGAACTATAGTGTCCCTCATGCCTAGCCTATGTGCTGACTTTGCAAGTGTTGATTGAACAAAAGTGACCGAATGCTCTGCAAGGTCTATTGCCTTTCTAGTACACCATTCATTTTTAATCTTAGCCTCAAACTAGATTTTTATTAGCTCAGTTATGTTATTTTTCCCTAGTAAGTGGATTTAAATTGGGATGTTTTATTTGCCTATATTACAGGAAGGTAAAAAGTTCTTAAAGATTATTTTCAGTAAGCTATGAAATTCCTTGTGAAACAGTGCACTATTGTCCAGATCTATTTCTGCCTAAAGAATTTGGCTTCATCTGACATAATCAGTTTTCTTTGCCTGGATGCTTTGGTGATTCATACACTTTATTGCTCTCCAGGCCTTTCTAGATTCCATGGTTATCACCTTCCTCTTTTTTACCTACATCCCCCAACGCCGCCCCCTGCCTTTTTTTTTTTTTTTTAAATTGGAGATGAGGTCTTGCTATGTTGCCCTGTCTGGTCTCAAACTCCTGGTTCCAAGTGATCCTCCTACCTCGGCCTCCCAAAGTGCAGGGATTATAGGTGTGAGCCACCATGCTTGGCCCTTTCTCTTTTTTAAAAAGTTGAAGTGGTCAGGCATGGTGGCTCAAGCCTGTAATCCCATCACTTTGGGAGGCTGAGGCGAGAGGATTGTCTGACCCCAGGGATTCGAGACCAGCTTGGGCAATTTGGTGAGATCTCATCTCTACAATATATCAAAAAATAAGCCAGGTGTGGTAGTGCGTGCTTGTAGTTCCAGCTACTTGGAAGGCTGAGGCAGAAGGATCGCCTGAGCCCAGCATGTCCACGCTGGGGTGGCTGTGAGTGTGCCACCGTACTCCAGGCTGGGTGATAGAGCGAGACTCTGACTCAAAAAAAAAAAAAAAAAAGTTGAAGTATAGCCTTTCAGTTTAAAAAAACTTCCACAAATGCATAAATTCCACGTTTAAAATGTGGAGTTGTAAATCTAGAAAATTTTTTAAAAGTTCTAAACTGTTTTAGCACTTGCCATTAAATAGTTACCATTCTTTATCTTTATAAGATGTAAATTTAGAAATTATTAACTTATTTTCCATCTTAGATTGGCTGTTTCCTAAAGTTACCTTATTTTCATTAGTAATATCTTCTGGTGACTTTTTCAAGCATCGACATGCTCTGTTTATGTTGTAGGAATTCTTGTTAGACAGGAATTTTGATTTTTCCAATCTGTTTTATCTTTCCTTATATTAACTTTCATTTTGGTGTCTCCTTTTTTTTTCCGTGAGGAGGAATAGCTTCTAGGCATTTAGGTTGGGACTGTATCTTTGAGTAGACTTAGATCTCCTAGAAATCTTACTATATGTCCATGGTTTTAGTTGCAAATTAGAAGTCATTCAAAGGTTTTGTAACCATGGTGGCTTTCTTTTTTCAGTTATTTTCAATGAATGGATATTTATTTCTGGTTAAAATTTTGAAAACGTTTGTAAATGAAACTGATAAAAGAACAAAAAACTTAGTGGTGGAGAAAGTTGTCAAAGAAGGTGATATAGTTCTAAATCAAAAATATAGAATTTTTCTTTATTATTATTTATTCTGTTACTGTTATAGATTAAGACTAATCACCTTTTTTTCTTCTTAATTTTACAGAGTTAATAGAGTGGATACAACCTTGCTGAAGATGAAGAATATATAATATTAGAGGAGATTTTTTCTTTTTTTCTTTCAAAAGTCTTGATTGTTTGGTGGCTTGTCTCTAGTTACCATTTTTAAGTCAAGTTTTTTTTTTTCTTCATCCGAAATGTTTTTTACAATCTCAAGGAAAAATATGTCCCAGAAATTGAGTTTACTGTTGCTTGTATTTGGACTCATTTGGGGATTGATGTTACTGCACTATACTTTTCAACAACCAAGACATCAAAGCAGTGTCAAATTACGTGAACAAATACTAGATTTAAGCAAAAGATATGTTAAAGCTCTAGCAGAGGAAAATAAGAACACAGTAGATGTCGAGAATGGTGCTTCCATGGCAGGATATGGTAAGAGAATAGAATATTTCTATCTTCTCCTTTTACCCCTTAAAGGTGGTCATGGAAATTGAACTAATTACTTCATGCATAGGTCTTTACAAAGCAATTTTTTCTTGATGATTTATTATGAAAATTTGCAAATATACTGGAAAATAGAGATAATATGATACATTATTATATTTTGATCACCCAGATTTAGCAGTTATTAACTTTTTGCAACTTTTGTTTTATCTAATTGTTAAAGAATATTTAAATTATAGAAATTGTGACATTTCACTTCTAAATATATAGCTCTTTAAAAAAACATATGTGATCTTTAAAAATGACCATTTCCTACAATACCATTATTATACCTAGTTTATATTTAAATTTTCCCGATTGTCCCAATATAAGCTATCAGTTGTATAGCATTTATTAATTTCTAAGAAGCAGAATTTGCCTATGTCTTCAGTAGTGTTTACTGCCATTCTCTCTTTCATATACTGGGTTCCTGCTGTGTTTTAAGTTCCTTTTCATACCGTGTTCTCTCTTAAAAAAAAGAGAGAGAGAACAGATATAATGGTTTTGTATAGAATACTGTGTATACATGAATGTCTGGACATTTTCTCTATTTCAGTTTTGTTTGTGTAATCAAAAGGTATACATGCATGTATTTAAAGAATCAAAATGTGTTATTATTCTTAATAAAAAGGGCAGTTCTTCCCATTCCCAACAGTCCTCACATTTCCTGTTCTTCAGAGCCACCCATTTTAAATTATTTCATCTCATTTATTGGTGATTACCTCCATATTTAAATAATAATAATAATAATAATGCTCCATGAGCCACTTCTTGATTTTTCAGTTACAGATATTATCTAACTTCCCCATAGGCAAGGTGAGAATGCAGCTTTCTTTCTCACTCAAAAAATGCATCCCATCCACCCCTAGACTGTCTTCACATATGAATGTTCTTAATGGCGTCTAGTGAGTCCTTTCCAGAAGGTTTTCAATTGACTTTGCCCAGACCCAACAGGACAACTGTCGGCAACTCTAGCTTTACAAAATGTATTTCTTAAATAATGATAATTGAAAGTCAAAATGACTCTTTAGTCCATGGAATGTATAATAGATGTGATAGCAGGCATAAAAACAACATTAATCTTGTACATTTCCATCATAGCTCTTGGGTGACTTGGTGCACTGCCAATGAGCAGTAACATTTTGAAAGGAATCTTGTTTTTTGAGTAGTAGGTCTCAACAGCAGGCCTACTAAATATTTAGTAAACCATGCTGTAAACAGATAAGCTGTCATTTAGGCTTCATTGTTCCATTCTAGGGCACAGGCACAGGAGATTTAGCATAATTCTTACGATTTTAAAAATGGTCAATAGGCATTGACTTCCACTTAGGGTCACCAGCTGCATTAGCCCCTAACAACGAGTCAACCTGTCCTTTGACGCTTTGAAACCAAATTGACTTCTATTTTCTAGCTATGAAAGTCCTAGATGGCATCTTTTTCCAGTGAAGGCTGTCCCATCTATGTTGACAATATGTTGCTTAGCATAGCTGTCTTCATCAGTTATCTTAGTTGGGTGTTCTGGATAACTTGCTGCAGCTTTTCCATCAGCACTTGCTGCGTCGCCTTGCACTTATGCTATGGAGACAGCTTCTTTCCTTACACCTCACGAACCAGCTTTCAGCGTTTCTTCTGCAGTGTCCTCACCTCCTCAGCCTTCATAGAATTCATTTTCTCTTAGTAATTTTGGTTAGAATAATATTCAAGGTTTGCACTATTATGACTGTAAATGGTATTCTTTACTGAGTCATGTGTAGGCACACCACAGAGATACTGTGGTTCCGATCTGGTATTCCGTAATACCGTGAATATTGGAATAAAGCAAATCACACATTTTTTGGCTTCCCAGTGCACATAAAAGTCAAGTTTACACTATAAGTTATTGAGTGTGCAACAGCATAATGTCTTCTAAAAACAGTACATACCTTAATTTAAAAATACTTCGTTGCTAAAAAATGCTAATAATCATCTAGGCCTTCAGTGAGTTGTAATCTTTTTTCTGGTGGAGGGTCTTGTCTCAATGTTAATGGCTGCTGACTGACCAGGGTGGTGATTGCTGAAGGTTGTGGTGGCTGTGGCAGTTTCTTAAAATAAGAAAACAATGAAGTTTGCTGAATCAATTGACTCTTTCATGAAAGATTTTTGTGTAGCATGTGATGCTTTGATAGCATTTGACCCACATTAGAATGTCTTTCAAAACTGAAATCTATCCACACAAACCCTGCAGCTACTCTATCAACTAAGTTTATGTAATATTTGAAATCCTTTGTTGCTATTTCAACAGTGTTTGCAGAGTCTTTATCAGGAGTAGATTACATCACAAAAAAACACTTTCTTTGCTCATTCATAAGAAGCAGATTGCAGGAATTCTTTCACCTCTTTAGGCTCCACTTCCTTCATTGAAGTCTTGAACTCCTCAGTCATCTGTGAGGGTTGGAATTAATTTCTTCTAAACTCCTGTGAAAATAGATATTTTGACCTCTTTCCATGAATCCCTTGAATTACTATCTATGGCAGTTCTAGTCTTATGAAATGTATTTCTTAAGACTTAAAAGTCCAAATGACTCCTAGACCCATGGCCTGCAGAATGGATGTTGTTTTAGAAGCAGGAAAACAACATTAATTTTATACATCTCCATCAGAGCTTTTGGGTAACCAGGTGCATTGTCAATGAAGCAGTAATATTTTGAAAATAATCCTTTTTTCTGAGCAGTAGTTATCTACGGTGGGCTTAAAATAGTCAGTAAGACATGCTGTGAACAGATGTGCTGTCATCCATCTAGGCTTTGTTGTTCCATCTGTCAAACACAGGCAGAGTAGATTTAGCATAATTCTTAAGGGCCCTAGGATTTTTGGAATGGTAAGTGAGCATTAGCTGCCACTTCAAGCCACCAGCTGCATTAACCCTAATAAGAGAGTTTGTCTTTTGGAACTTTGAAGCCAGGTGTGAAAACTCCAAAAGACGGACTCTAGCTATAAAAGCTCTAGATGGCATCTTCTTCCCATAGACAGCTGGTTCATCTAATTTCAAAATTTGTTGTTTAGTGTGGCCGCCTTCATCAATTATCTTAGCTAGATCTTCTGGATAACTTTCTGTAGCTTCTCCATCAATACTTGCTACTTCACCTTGTACTTTTATGATCTAGAGATGGCTTTTCTCTTTCCACCTCAGAAACCAGCCTCTGCTAACTTCAGACTTTTCTTCTGCAGCTTCCTTACCTCTCTGCCTTCACAGAATTGAAGAGAGTTAGGGCCTTGCTCTGGATTAGGCTTTGGCTTAAGCAAATGTTGTGGCTGATTTGATCTTTCATCCAGACCACTAAAACTTTATGTTAGCAGTAAGGCTATTTTCCCTACTCTCTGCCTCCTCCGCCCCCC